TAGACTAGACTAGACTATAGACTAGACTATAGACTAGACTATAGACTAGACTAGACTATAGACTAGACTATAGACTAGACTATAGACTAGACTATAGACTAGACTATAGACTAGACTATAGACTAGAATATAGACTAGACTATAGACTAGACTATAGACTAGACTATAGACTATACTATAGACTAGACTAGACTAGACTATAGACTAGACTATAGACTAGACTATAGACTAGACTATAGACTAGACTATAGACTAGACTATAGACTAGACTATAGACTAGACTATAGACTAGACTATAGACTAGACTATAGACTAGACTATAGACTAGACTATAGACTAGACTATAGACTAGACTATAGACTAGACTATAGACTATACTTTAGACTAGACTATATACTAGACTATAGACTAGACTATAGACTAGACTATAGACTAGACTATAGACTAGACTATAGACTAGACTATAGACTAGACTATAGACTAGACTATAGACTAGACTATAGACTAAACTATAGACTAGACTATAGACTAGACTATAGACTAGAATATAGACTAGACTATAGACTAGACTATAGACTAGACTATAGACTAGACTATAGACTAGACTATAGACTAGACTATAGACTAGACTATAGACTAGACTATAGACTAGACTATAGACTAGACTATAGACTAGACTATAGACTAGACTATAGACTAGACTATAGACTAGACTATAGACTAGACTATAGACTAGACTATAGACTAGACTATAGACTAGACTATAGACTAGACTATAGACTAGACTATAGACTAGACTATAGACTAGACTATAGACTAGACTATAGACAGACTATAGACTAGACTATAGACTAGACTAACTAGACTATAGACTAGACTATAGACTAGACTATAGACTAGACTATAGACTAGACTATAGACTAGACTATAGACTAGACTATAGGACTAGACTATAGACTAGACTAGACTAGACTATAGACTAGACTATAGACTAGACTATAGACTAGACTATAGACTAGACTATAGACTAGACTATAGACTAGACTATAGACTAGACTATAGACTAGACTATAGACTAGACTATAGACTAGACTATAGACTAGACTATAGACTAGACTATAGACTAGACTATAGACTAGACTATAGACTAGACTATAGACTAGACTATAGACTAGACTATAGACTAGACTATAGACTAGACTATAGACTAGACTATAGACTAGACTATAGACTAGACTATAGACTAGACTATAGACTAGACTATAGACTAGACTATAGACTAGACTATAGACTAGACTATAGACTAGACTATAGACTAGACTATAGACTAGACTATAGACTAGACTATAGACTAGACTATAGACTAGACTATAGACTAGACTATAGACTAGACTATAGACTAGACTATAGACTAGACTAGACTATAGACTAGACTATAGACTAGACTATAGACTAGACTATAGACTAGACTATAGACTAGACTATAGACTAGACTATAAACTAGACTATAGACTAGACTATAGACTAGACTATAAACTAGACTATAACTAGACTATAGACTAGACTATAGACTAGACTATAGACTAGACTATAGACTAGACTATAGACTAGACTATAGACTAGACTATAGACTAGACTATAGACTAGACTATAGACTAGACATAGACTAGACTATAGACTAGACTATAGACTAGACTATAGACTAGACTATAGACTAGACTATAACGAGACTATAGACTAGACTATAGACTAGACTATAGACTAGACTATAGACTAGACTATAGACTAGACTATAGACTAGACTATAGACTAGACTATAGACTAGACTATAGACTAGACTATAGACTAGACTATAGACTAGACTATAGACTAGACTATAGACTAGACTATAGACCAGACTAACTAGGTAAGACTATCGACTAGACTAAAGCCTAGACTATAGTCAAGAATATAGACTAGATTATAGTCAAGACTATAGACTAAAATTGATGAATTTTCCAAAATTTACTAAAGAAAGTGAATTTTTCGCAAAATTTACTAAAGAAAGTGAATTTTTCGCAAAATTTACTAATGAAAGTGAATTTTTCGCAAAATTTACTAATAAAAGTGAATTTTTCGCAAAATTTACTAAAGAAAGTGAATTTTTCGCAAAATTTACTAATAAAAGTGAATTTTTCGCAAAATTTACTAAAGAAAGTGAATTTTTCGCAAAATTTACCAAAGAAAGTGAATTTTTCGCAAAATTTACTAAAGAAAGTGTATTTTTCGCAAAATTTACTAAAGAAAGTGAATTTTTCGCAAAATTTACTAAAGGAAGTGAATTTTTCGCAAATTTACTAAAGAAAGTGTATTTTTCGCAAAATTTACTAAAGAAAGTGAATTTTTCGCAAAATTTACTAAAGGAAGTGAATTTTTCGCAAAATTTACTAAAGAAAGTTTCATTTTACTTGGCGTTTCTTTATAAGTAAACAATTAATTAAAGAAAAATCTTTGTTTACTTTATGTAATCGTCCATGATTTGTTGCTGTTAAAACGTTACAACAAATATGTAGTTACTTTTGTTAAAATAATCTCATCAAAGTCAATTTTCGTAATTTGTAGTGTATTTAACAAAACAAATCTAATAAAATCTTCTAAGCTTTTAACATTTAAATAAACACAAGTAATTAATCATATCAATAACAACCGCCTCCGCAGAAGAAAATATTTCTTTTTGTTTTGTTTTACTATTTGTTTTCAGCTGGTTACACTTACTTAACCTATTTTTATGTAATAGAACATTTTGCCAATTTCTTTTTCAGTTTTTTTTTTTTTTTTTTTGTATTTAATTCTTTTGTATTTATAAACAAATCAATTTCTTTTTGTAAGAAATTTAGAAACTAAACAATACATTTAAGTGGTTTAAATGATTTTTGTTGTAGTTGTGCATGTTTGTGTCAAACATGACATGACACTTGTTGATTAATAAGAGAACAAGAAAACAACAAAATTAGAAGGAAATAGTGAGTGACAATGATAAAAATAACATACGTAAACAGTAATTATGATGTTGTTAAAGACGCGTAAGTTATTGTTGGGGTTAACAGTTATTTCAAAGGTGTTTTTTTTCTCTTTTGTTACGGTTAATGACTACGAGAAAGGGGAAATATGTTATAAATAGTAAATAAAGTAAAAAGGTTAAACAGACAGCTTAAAAGTAAATGTCAAACTTTTATTAAAGAAAGTAAATTTTCAAAATTAAACCAAATCTGGAACATAAACTTCTTTGAAAGACAACAATAACAGAAATAGAACTGAATAACAACTAAATTCGAACTGAACTAGAACTGAACAGAACTAGAACAGAACTAGAACAGAACTAGAACAGAACTAGAACAGAACTAGAACAGAACTAGAACAGAACTAGAACAGAACTAGAACAGAACTAGAACAGAACTAGAACAGAACTAGAACAGAACTAGAACAGAACTAGAACAGAACTAGAACAGAACTAGAACACAACTAGAACAGAACTAGAACAGAACTAGAACAGAACTAGAACAGAACTAGAACAGAACTAGAACAGAACTAGAACAGAACTAGAACAGAACTAGAACAGAACTAGAACAACTAGAACTGAACCAGAACAGAACTAGAACTGAACTGGGAAATAACTAGAACTAGAGCTGAAATAGAACTAAACTAAAGCTGAAGTAGAACTGAACTAGAACAGAACTAAAACTGAACTAGAACTGAACTAGAACAGAACTAGAAAAGAACTAGAACAGAACTAGAACAGAACTAGAACTGAACTAGAACTGAACTAGAACTGAACTAGAACTGAACTAGAACTGAACTAGAACTGAACTAGAACTGAACTAGAACTGAACTAGAACTGAACTAGAACTGAACTAGCACTGAACTAGAACTGAACTACAACAGAACTAGAACTGAACTAGAACTGAACTAGAACAGAACTAGAACAGAACTAGAACAGAACTAGAACAGAACTAGAACAGAACTAGAATAGAACTAGAACAGAACTAGAACAGAACTAGAACAGAACTAGAACAGAACTAGAACAGAACTAGAACTGAACTGAACTAGAACTGAACTAGAACTGAACTAGAACTGAACTAGAAGAACTGAACTAGAACTGAACTAGAACTGAACTAGAACTGAACTAGAACTGAACTAGAACTGAACTAGAACTGAACTAGAACTGAACTAGAACTGAACTAGAACTGAACTAGAACTGAACTAGAACTGAACTAGAACTGAACTAGAACTGAACTAGAACTGAACTAGAACTGAACTAGAACTGAACTAGAACTGAACTAGAACTGAACTAGAACTGAACTAGAACTGAACTAGAACTGAACTAGAACTGAACTAGAACTGAACTAGAACTGAACTAGAACTGAACTAGAACTGAACTAGAACTGAACTAGAACTGAACTAGAACTGAACTAGAACTGAACTAGAACTACTGAACTAGAACTGAACTAGAACTGAACTAGAACTGAACTAGAACTGAACTAGAACTGAACTAGAACTGAACTAGAACTGAACTAGAACTGAACTAGAACTGAACTAGAACTGAACTAGAACTGAACTAGAACTGAACTAGAACTAGAACTGAACTAGAACTGAACTAGAACTGAACTAGAACTGAACTGCAACAGAACTAGAACTGAACTAGAGCTGAACTACAACAGAACTAGAACTGAACTAGAGCTGAACTACAACAGAACTAGAACTGATCTTCCAACTTGGCTAAAGATAGTAAATTAAAACCACATTTAAATATATTTTTCAATTATTTTATTTATAAATTCAAATTTTCATTTAATTTTTTTCCTTCTATTTCCAAAATGTTAAACATTTTCTTAAAACTATTTTTTTGCAAAATTACATTTTTCCTGTTTTTTTTTTTCATTCTTTAAAGAACTTATTAGCTAATTTTTAAACATTTTCTTATCAAATATCACTTTGATCTTTGATCGAGAAATTTGACAAAAGATCTAGAGGTATGCTGTTCTCTCGTTACTTAAACTTTCATAAAGTTAAGAAACGCATAGCTTTATCCAAGAACTTTTCTTCAGCGCTAACAGTTTCGGATTGTTTTTTTCGATGAGGAGCGATATTTTCTCTTGCCCTTTTTGGGATTTTTGGTGAATTGGTGCTGTATGACATCGTCTAAGACACGATCATAAATTTCGGCTTCTTCACTGTCCTCACCGTAAGTGGTAGAGGAGAGCAAGTCCACGGCAGGGGTTTCAGGTTGTACATATTGTTTTTTCATTATTAAAGAGATGAGACGGGATTTGAGAGATTTACATTTAGGATGAGAAATTACTTTTGATCGTGGCCGTATGGGATCTATGTTTTCATACAGATGATCATCTTGGGTATTGTTAAGGAATACACCGGATTCTTCTGAGTCGGAGGAAAATGATTTGAGAGAGTCCACTGTTAGATTGCTATAGGTGGCATTACTGGTGCCTTGAGAGCTCAAGCCGAAGTAAGTTTCATCATAGATATAATCAGATTCAGAAGTATAAGTACTCTTGTCATCTTCATCGGCCAATGATGAGCCCACCAGCGAAGAATCTAAGCAAGTGATGATCTTTTTTGAATATTCAAAGGATTCCTGATGACTTTGAATTTTACGTCTTTGACGGCGTTCATATTTAGCCTTTTCCAGGCGTGTAATAGTCTCCAGACTGTCCATAAACAATTGCAGATCTCGTGGTGTAAAATCCTCGGTATTGACTAGATTTTCTGCTGAGGAATCATCTATGGGAGCCGAGGTATATTTATTAACTTCCACTTGATGGCGCATAACGTGCATATAGGCATAATCGTAAATATCACTCATTTTGTATTTGATGTCCTTTTCTTAAATAAACTTTATCACAATAATTCAAATTATATTTGTTCAAATAACCACAATGTTGTTATCCTGTGAAAAGTTGTTGCTCAACTGATGCTATTTGTTGCCAGAGGGAAACCTTAAATACCTTTTAGGTAGTTTGGGAATATCAGCGAAATTTTTAGCGTTATTTCCTTTTGCGCTATCATAAATCCCAAATGCTTTTATTGCGCTATGAAAATCCGCTACCTGTTGCTATTTAAGCTGCACAGGTACGGTGATAATGCAAAATTGTATTTTTTTCCTTTTTGAGTTTGCGGTAAATTCCCTTCTATTGGGGTGTTAAAAATACATTTATAATGTCATCATTATAATGAGCCGAAAAACGTACGAGAGAATTTCTTTTCTAAGAAACTTTTCTTCGTCATCTGGTCATTTCGCTGAGGCGTTGGTGTTAAACGTTTTTCCTGTCACGTCTGTTGGAATATGTGTTATTTGTTAAAGCAAAACTATGACAAGACTTCAAGGCAGGATAAGTCTTCTAATTGTTGGTGTCTTTTCTCAGCATATGTGAGGAAATAGACAGACAATGACACGGCCGTCACTTTAAGCGAAAACTAATTTATTTAAAATGGAAATTTTACTATTGTCGCTTTAAATCGCGTTAGTTTGTATTTCCCATCTGTCCGGAACACTTGTCGCCGCGTCTTTATTCATTTTGCAAATAAATTTTAACTTTATAAAGTCGTCGGAATATAATTAAAGTTGGAAATCTATATCTACTAGAAGACTTTTGAAAAACAAGTGCCAATTAAACTCAAACTTTAATAACTTTCGGTCTAAACAGCTTTTTCATTATGCTCCTTAGGCAGGCGTCAAATGATCGTTTATTTACTTCGGCAGCTTTCTTAAAAGAAAATTGTGATTGACACAAATGGATGCATCATTAAACAGTTAAAATAACCATTCTATACTTTTTCGATAATTTATTCGATTGCCACTACATACGAATTTCCCAATTAATAAACACAAAGCTTCATCATGAGGACTTCCTCTCATCTGTCGTGCAGTAATACCGTTATTACTGAATTGATAATCTTTGGTCGTGTTCAAATCAAGTTGTTCCTGACCGATTATAAAAATAATTTGAGACCTGAATTACTTTATTTTAAACTAATTCAAATCTTAAATCCAATGATCTTCGGAACAGCTAAAAGATGGTTAGGTTAGGTTAGGTTGATAGGAGGATGTATACTACATCGAATCCGAAGAAATACACCTAGGCCACTATCGGGCCTGTTGTGCGCTCCAAACTAGAACAGAACTGCAACGTAACTAAAACCGAGCTATAACTGAACTAGAACAGAATTAGAACAGAACTAGAACAGAACTAGAACAGAACTAGAACAGAACTAGAACAGAACTAGAACAGAACTAGAACAGAACTAGAACAGAACTAGAACAGAACTAGAACAGAACTAGAACAGAACTAGAACAGAACTAAAACAGAACTAGAACAGAACTAGAACAGTACTAGAACATAACTAGAACAGAACTAGAACAGAACTAGAACAGTACTAGAACAGAACTAGAACAGAACGAGAACAGAACGAGAACAGTACTAGAACATAACTAGAACAGAAGTAGAACAGAACTAGAACAGTACTAGAACAGAACTAGAACAGAACGAGAACAGGACTAGAACAGAACGAGAACAGTACTAGAACAGAACTAGAACAGAAGTAGAACAGAACTAGAACAGTACTAGAACAGAACTAGAACAGAACTAGAACAGAACTAGAACAGAACTTAAACGGAACTAGAACAAACTAAAACAGAAATAGAACTGAACTAGAACAGAACTAGAACAGAACTCGAACAGGACTAGAACAGAACTAGAACAGAACTAGAACAGAACTAGAACAGAACTAGAACAGAACTAGAACAGAACTAGAACAGAACTAGAACAGAAATAGAACAGAACTAGAACAGAACTAGAACAGAACTAGAACAGAACTAGAACAGAACTAGAACAGAACTAGAACAGAACTAGAACAGAACTAGAACAGAACTAGAACAGAACTAGAACAGAAGTAGAACAGAATTAGAACAGAACTAGAACAGAACTAGAACAGAATTAGAACAGAATTAGAACAGAACTAGAACTAGAACAGAACTCGAACAGGACTAGAACAGAACGAGAACAGAACTAGAACAGAACTAGAACAGAACTAGAACAGAACTAGAACAGAACTAGAACAGAACTAGAACAGAACTGAACTAGACCTGAATAGGAACTAAAATAGAACAAAACTTGAGCAGAACTATAATTGTTGCAGAACTAAACTAAAACTGATTTAGAATCGAACTAATCGAACTGAACTGGAACTGAGTCTTTCTATCAAGTAAAATTACATGCGGATCTCTTTTTAACATACATATGTATTTCATATTTCGAAATTTCGAAAAAAAAAAGAATAAATATTAGTAATTTGTGAAATTTCATAAATAAAAATAAAAACAATTGATTTTTTTCTTTTTTTAATTTTATTATTTTTTATTAAAAATTATAAAATGTTAGACATTTTCGTTTTTATAGCTAAAATATTTACATCAAGATAACTTATAACACTAAAGAAAAGAAAACCGAAATTAAAATATATTTAAGACCAAACACCTAAAATATTCATTTAGTTTCCTTTAAAACCTAAAAGTCAATAGTTTTAAGCTTTTTGAAGAAAAAAACTTAAACTAGACTTTTGATACGAACCAAAAAAAAAAAAAAAAGAGAATTCAATTCAATTTTCTTTAACGACAGCCCAAAAAAGAAAGAGAAATGAACCTACAGAGTCAAATAACGCAAAGCCTTATCCAAGAAACGTTCTTCCGATGAACCATCGGGACAGGCAAAACCTTGACGAGACTTTTTCTTCATGTGTAGAGTAGAGAAACGGGCCAATTTCTCTGATTCCTGTACAAGTTCAGCTTGGAGCATTTGCTGTTGTTCCTGCTCATACATTTCCAAAGTTTCATATTCATCTAGGGGACGATGAGAGATAAGTTCTACTGAGGGTACTTTGGCGGAGTCCTTTTTCATAACCAAACCTATTAGGCGGGAACGTGTGGATATAGAACGAGATTTGGTGATAACTTTAGAACGAGGTCTTATGGTGGTATTCTGGGGCTCATAGAGATCTTGATAGGAAGTACCGATGGGAAATACACCAGATTCTTCTGAGTCTGAAGTGGTGATTATGGACAAGGTAGAATGGCTGCTGTTTTTGGACAATTGCTGTTGGAAGATGACACTATTGCGTGGTGAGGACTGAGTACTGCTAGGGGCCGAGAAGTAAGTTTCATCATATTCAGATCTCTGGCTATCGGGACTCTTGGGTACTTTTTTATTTTCCAACAGCAAAATTTCTTCTTCATCTCCTGAGGCTCCAGTAGAGGAGGAATCCAAAGTTGAAATAGAACTTATGCGAGGCAAGGTACAAAACTTCTTGCTTAAGTTATTCAATTTTTGCAATTTCTTTTGTTCTTTGCGCTCCTCCTTTTCGCGGGCCAAACGTGTTATGGTCTCTAAACTTTCGACGAATAGAGATAAATCGTGAGGAGAGAAATATTGAGTATTAATTTTGAATTTCGAAGCTTCTAGCAAAGTCATGTTGAAACTTGTTGAATTGGCCATTTTAGTTAATAACTTTTTTAATTTGTTTTAAGAAAATTAGTTAATAATTCTTTTTGGATAAATTGTTTTTAAAATGATGTTGGTTTGAGATTTGTTGAACTACAACTGATACTTTTTGCACAAGTGCGTTAGGTTTTATACTAAATTTAGGGCTCGTACACGCTACAGGCCTTCTTAAGACAGGTAGTTTAGTTGATGATGACTTAATCTATAATCTAGTAGTCACCTCCTAGTTTTGTTGTTGTATGCTTAATGTACTTATAGTTTAGTTTAAACTGTCTGTTATACCTGTTGCAAAATCCTTTTTTCTAGTTATTTGGCCTCCTTTTTAACTAGAATGCACAATTAGAACCTTTCTGCCATGACCTTTTCTGTAACTGTGACTATTTTAATCCATTTTTGGGAAAATCCTTTTAGTCAACCCGGTGCCAATTATTTTAAGATTTTACTTATTAAAATTTCAAATCTTTATTTTTTTATCTCTATCTCTTTCCTTCCTTCAATACAATATAATCTCTGCTTAAGACCTGTCATTTGTCATTAGTTTCAATTGTCATACTTACAGAGCTTCGACTATAATTTATGATCTTGTATTAAAATTTTTGGATTTCACAAATTTCGTTTTCATTAGAATTTCGTAAAATGCAGCTTGTTCAAAATTATTATAATAATGGGATTTTCCTTTCATTAACACAATTTTTAAGGAATTTTCATGTAATATAAATTTTATTACTTTTGTAAGAACATATGGCGTTTTCTTACGTTTGTGAGAAAAGGCCGCTAATTAACACGTGTCAAAATTACGTTTAGTCACGTACGCTATTTAAAGGTATGCAAAAGGAAAGTGTCAGGAACCTTTCACAGTAATTAGGACAATAGTTTTGGGTTTACAGTTAGATATGGTGGCTCAAATAAATTATTTTAATATTTTTTGACGAAATTTATTTTAGTTTATTTAGGAGATAATTTTAAGAAAATCATTAATAATTCTAGAAATGTTTTAAACAAATTATGTTTACCTGAACGAAGGGCCAAATTTTAGCATTCGAAAGCTATCGAGATTTATAATAAAACTTTTTATAATTCTATTGAGGTTTTTGAATAAGAACTAAACTAGAACTGAACTAGAACTGAACTAGAACTGAACTAGAACTGAACTAGAACTGAACTAGAACTGAACTAGAACTGAACTAGAACTGAACTAGAACTGAACTAGAACTGAACTAGAACTGAACTAGTACTGAACTAGAACTGAACTAGAACTGAACTAGAACTGAACTAGAACTGAACTAGAACTGAACTAGAACTGAACTAGAACTGAACCAGAACTGAACTAGAACTGAACTAGAATTGAACTAGAACTGAACTAGAACTGAACTAGAACTGAACTAGAACTGAACTAGAACTGAACTAGAACTGAACTAGAACTGAACTAGAACTGAACTAGAACTGAACTAGAACTGAACTAGAACTGAACTAGAGCTGAACTAGAACTGAACTAGAACTGAACTAGAATTGAACTAGAACTGAACTAGAACTAAACTAGAATTGAACTAAACTGAACTTGGACTGCACTAGAACTGAACTAGAACTGAAATAGAACTGAACTAGAACTGAACTAGAACTGAACTAGAACTGAACTAGAACTGAACTAGAACTGACTAGAACTGAAATAGAACTGAACTAGAACTGAACTAGAACTGAACTAGAACTGAACTAGAACTGAACTAGAACTGAACTAGAACTGAACTAGAACTGAACAAGAACTGAACTGAACTAGAACTGAACTAGAACTGAACTAGAACTGAACTAGAACTGAACTGAACTAGAACTGAACTAGAACTGAACTAGAACTGAACTAGAACTGAACTAGAACTGAACTAGAACTGAACTAGAACTGAACTAGAACTGAACTAGAACTGAACTAGAATTGAACTAGAATTGAACTAGAACTGAACTAGAACTGAACTAGAACTGAACTAGAACTGAACTAGAACTGAACTAGAACTGAACTAGAACTGAACTAGAACTGAACTAGAACTGAACTAGAACTGAACTAGAAACTAGAACTAGAACTAGAACTGAACTGAACTAGAACTGAACTAGAACTGAACTAGAACTGAACTAGAACTGAACTAGAACTGAACTAGAACTGAACTAGAACTGAACTAGAACTGAACTAGAACTGAACTAGAACTGAACTAGAACTGAACTAGAACTGAACTAGAACTGAACTAGAACTGAACTAGAACTGAACTAGAACTGAACTAGAACTGAACTAGAACTGAACTAGAACTGAACTAGAACTGAACTAGAACTGAACTAGAACTGAACTAGAACTGAACTAGAACTGAACTAGAACTGAACTAGAACCTGAACTAGAACTGAACTAGAATGAACTAGAACTGAACTAGAACTGAACTAGAACTGAACTAGAACTGAACTAGAACTGAACTAGAACTGTAACTAGAACTGAACTAGAACTGAACTAGACTGAACTAGAACTGAACTAGAACTGAACTAGAACTGAAACTAGAACTAGAACTGAACTAGAACTGAACTAGAACTGAACTAGAACTGAACTAGAACTGAACTAGAACTGAACTAGAACTGAACTAGAAACTGAACTAGAAACTGAACTAGAACTGAACTAGAACTGAACTAGAACTGAACTAGAACTGAACTAGAACTGAACTAGAACTGAACTAGAACTGAACTAGAACTGAACTAGAAACTGAACTAGAACTGAACTAGAACTGAACTAGAACAGAACTAGCACAGAACTAAAACAGAACAAGACCTAAACTAGAACAGAACAGAACAGAACTAGAACAGAACTAGAACAGAACTAGAACAGAACTAGAACAGAAAACTAGAACAGAACTAGAACAGAACTAGAAAACAGAACTAGAACAGAACTAGAACAAGAACTAGAACAGAACTAGAACAGAACTAGAACAGAAACTAGAACAGAACTAGAACAGAACTAGAACAGAAACTAGAACAGAACTAGAACAGAACTAGAACAGAACTAGAACAGAACTAGAACAGAACTAGAAACAGAACTAGAACAGAGAACTAGAACAGAACTAGAACAGAACTAGAACAGAACTAGAACAGAACTAGAACAGAACTAGAACAGAACTAGAACAGAACAGAACTAGAACAGAACTAGAACAGAACTAGAACAGAACTAGAACAGAACTAGAACAGAACTAGAACAGAACTAGAACAGAACTAGACAACTAGAACAGAACTAGAACAGAACTAGAACAGAACTAGAACAGAACTAGAACAGAACCTAGAACAGAACTAACTAGAACAGATCTAGAACAGAACTAGAACAGAACTAGAACAGAACTAGAACAGAACTAGAACAGAACTAGAACAGAACTAGAACAGAACTAGAACAGAACTAGAACAGAACTAGAACAGAACTAGAACAGAATTAGAACAGAACTAGAACTAAACTAGAACAGAACTAGCACAGAACTAAAACAGAACAAGAACTGAACTAGAACAGAACTAGAACAGAACTAGAACAGAACTAGAACAGAACTAGAACAGAACTAGAACAAACAGAACTAGAACAGAACTAGAACAGAACTAAAACAGAACTAAAACAGAACTAGAACAGAACTAGAACAGAACTAGAACAGAACTAGAACAGAACTAGAACAGAATTAGAACAGAACTAGAACAGAACTAGAACAGAACTAGAACAGAACTAGAACAGAACTAGAACAGAACTAGAACAGAACTAGAACAGAACAGAACTAGAACAGAACTAGAACAGAACAGAACTAGAACAGAACTAGAACAGAACTAGAACAGAACTAGAACAGAACTAGAACAGAACTAGAACAGAACTAGAACAGAACTAGAACAGAATTAGAATAGAACTAGAACAGAACTAGAACAGAACTAGAACAGAACTAGAACAGAACTAGAACAGAACTAGAACAGAACTAGAACAGAACTAGAACAGAACTAGAACAGAACTAGAAAAGAACTAGAACAGAACTAGAACAGAACTAGAACAGAACTAGAACAGAACTAGAACAGAACTAGAACAGAACTAGAACAGAACTAGAACAGAAACTAGAACAGAACTAGAACAGAACTAGAACAGAACTAGAACAGAACTAGAAACAGAACTAGAACAGAACTAGAACAGAACTAGAACAGAACTAGAACAGAACTAGAACAGAACTAGAACAGCACTAGAACAGAATTAGAACAGAATTAGAACAGAATTAGAACAGAATTAGAACAGAACTAGAACAGAATTAGAACAGAATAGAACAGAACTAGAACAGAATTAGAACAGAACTAGAACAGAACTAGAACAGAACTAGAACAGAACTAGAACAGAACTAGAACAGAACTAGAACAGAACTAGAACAGAACTAGAATAGAACTAGAACAGAACTAGAACAGAACTAGAATAGAACTAGAACATAACTAGAACAGAACTAGAACAGAACTAGAACAGAACTAGAACAGAACCTAGAACAGAACCTAGAACAGAACCAGAACAGAACCAGAACAGAACCAGAACAGAACCAGAACAGAACCAGAACCAGAACAGAACCAGAACAGAACCAGAACAGAACCAGAACAGAACCAGAACAGAACCAGAACAGAACCAGAACAGAACCAGAACAGAACCAGAACAGAACCAGAACAGAACCAGAACAGAACCAGAACAGAACCAGAACAGAACCAGAACAGAACAGGAACAGAAATAGAACGGAACTAGAACAAAAGAAGAACATAACTAGATTTAGAAATCACCTACAACTGAGCCACAACCGAAGTAAAATTGGTCCTGATGTTAAATGGAGCTAAAACAGATGTAGAACAGAACTAGAACTGAAGTATAACTGAACTAAAACTGAAGTATACCTGAACAAGAACTGAACTAGTCTTGTTCTAGTTCTGTTGTGGTTCTAGTTCTGGTTCTATTCTAGATAAATTCTAGTTCTATTACAGTTCTG